ACAGTCAAATGCCTTTGCATAATCAATGAAACACAGATAGACATTCTTCTGGTATTTCCTGCTTTCAGCTAAAATCCATCTAACATCAGCTACAATATCCCTAGTACCACGACCCCTTCTAAACCCAGCCTGGACTTCTGGCAGTTCTCTGCTGACGTGCTGGTCCAGTTGTTTTTGGATAATCTACACAGGATAATTTCCATGGTATAAAACAAGAAGTTTTATAGTAAAGAAATTATGTACAATGATTAAGTAATAGATAGCTGTAAAAAGAGCAAGGGACATGTAGGGCAGCCATATCTAACCTCTACCAACTCCATGATGGAGAACTGTCCCCATCAACAACATCAACAACTCAAAACCAATTCCCATGATGTCAGAAATGTCCCCCCATGCTCTGCACCTCTTTCTACTCGTCCTAACACTAATCTTATTGCTTTATTGGGTCCAAAATCCCCTGCAATAGCTCACAGATCTCAAAGAACCAGATTAAAGAAGTCAAAGGTTATGATTCAGGTGGACAACAAGATATAATCACTTAGTCAAGATAGCTTCTAAAATGGGCCCACAGGCACCTCATCCTGGAGCCTTGTAGCTTTAGGTTAGTGTTACATATTTCTCAGTCCTGTCAGTTATGGCTCTCCCCATCCAACCCCTCACCAACTATTCCAGCAGACTGAGGCTCATGGAGTAGCAGCCCCAAAGTCAGCTCTGTCTCATCAAGTCTCTGGTCTCTGCTTCAGCCATGGTTGCTGCTGCTATGTCTAACTGAAGCAAGAGTCTCTGGTCCTGAAGAGCACATGTTATATTCTTGCTTCTTCTTGACTAGTGATGAGATTCTAAAATTCTCCTGCTGAATCTGCTCAATGTAATTGTGAGATTAACCAACCTACTTGCGGATAGGCTAACACAGCCTATTTCCTCATTCCTGCCCATCCACATGGTAAAGCCAAACTCAATGGCTAGGAAAGCCATTTTGAACAATAAACATTAACACCACAATATTAAATGCAGTGAAAACATCTGCCTTTAAATTAGCAATTACAATGTACTACAGATCTGTCTGTGTTGATGTAATACAGATGTAATATAGACCTAAACACATAACAAATTATTTGTTCTTGAAATAACTGTACCCAGAACAAGAGCTAGCTGTTTGAATAGAACAGAGGAATATTGTATAGTTACAAATCAAGAAAAGTATACATCAGGAAAGGATGTATATTTAAAACCAGGAAGGATGTATAGTAGGGTTATATCTTATCCCACATTTATTAAACCGGAATGTTTAGCAAAATAATATGAGAAGCAGGATTGGAGGAAGAATTCATTAATGACCTGCAGTATACAAATGATATATCCTTTCTTTTTTAACATGTTGAAGAAATCTTGAACATTTACTAATGAAAGTTAAAGATTATAACTTCCTTGTGTATGTATTACATCTCAAAATAAAGAGAATAAAAGTTATTACAACAGAATCAATAGGCAACACCATGATAAGTAAAGAAAAACACAAAGGTTGTCAACATCTCATTTTACTTGGCTTCACAATCAATGCATATGGAAGCAATAGTCAAAAAAATCAAAGATTTGTATCAAGTCTATCTACTGTGAAGGATCTCTTTAAAGCATTAAGAGCAAAGATGTTACTTAGAAGATTAAGATGTAACTGACTCAAGCTATGTTATTTTCAATTGCCCCATATGCATATGAAATCTTAATAACGAATAAGGGACAAAAAAGAATTGATTACAGTGCTGGTGAAGAACATTTCAGGGAAGACTGCCAGGACAGTAAACAAATCAGCCCTGGAAAACACACAGAGAAAATGTTCCTTACAACTAAGGAAAGCAAGACCTTGTCTTATACACTTCGAGCATGTTATCAGAAGGGACAAGTGCCTGAAGGAGGACATGATCTCAATAAAAAATAATTTCAAAAAAGATGAAAATTTTCAACAAGATAGATTAATACAGTGGTGGCAGTGAGAGTCTCAAACACAGTAAGAGAGTTGTGAGGATGGTTCAGGACCAATCAATGTTTCTTTTGTTTTGTGGTACGTAGTGTTATTGCTAGTCAGGATCAACTCAACAGCACCTAAAACAACAGTATTACTTTTCATTTTTCTCATAAAAAAATTTTACTATTCTGGTCATTTCTCTTCCCCAGGTACTTGTAAAAATAAACTTACCATAGAGCAGTACCAGGTTTGAAGGGGAATCAGTTTCCTAGACTCTTACTGTCATTGTTGTAGGGTTGCATTTTTTTTTCAATTTAAACAGAAGTTTAATAACTTCATGAACTTGTTGAATAATAACACCGAATGGAACCAATTAATAATGTTTAAACCAATAGATGCAACCTTGGACATGCTTACCAGTCTGTTCCGGGAAATTCTGAAGACAGCTACCTAGCCAACTAGCTAGAAGAGATCCTTTTTTGTTCCTAGTCCCGAGAAAAGTGATCCAACAGAATGTGGAAATGAACACAACCTTTAATATCACATACAAACAAAATATTGCTGAAGAGCACCCAAAAACAGCTAGAACACTACATGGGCAGAGAAGTGACAGAAGGTCAAATTTGGTTTAGAAGAGGCCACGGTATCGGTGATATCATTGTTATTGTCAGATCCTGGATAAAAGTAGAGAATACCAGAAGAATGTCTATTTGTGCTTTATTGAGTATGTCACAGCATTTGACTGTATAGATAATAACAAACTATAGCTAACACTGAGAAGAATGGATATCCTACAACATTTAATTGTCCTCATGTGAAACCTATACCTAGACCAAGGAGCTGTTTTCTGAACAAAGCAAGGGAGTACTGTATAATTTTTAAATCAAGGAAAATATGTGTCAGAGCTATATCCTTTATCCATATCTATTCAATCTATATGCTGAGCAAATCATTTAAGAAGCTGGACTTTATGAATAGGGATAACAGAAGAATTGATGCTTTCAAGTTGTGGTGTTGTAGAAGAGCACTGAACATCCATCCCATGGACCTTTGTTTTTTGTCTTTTGTTTGCCAAAAGAGCAAACAAATAGGTCTTGGAGAGGGTGTAGTCAGAGTGCTCCTTGGAAGATGATGAGGCTTCATTTCACATACTTCAAGAATGTTGCTAGGAGGGGCTATTTCTTGTAATGGGACATGATACTCGGAAAGGTAGAGGTCAGCATAGGAGAGAGAGACCCTCTACCAGGTGGGTTGACACAGTGACTGCCACAATGGCCTTTAACATGTCAAGAAGAGTGAGGATAGCACAGGATAGGGCAGGGTGCAGATTTGTTGTTCACAGGGTCACTATGAGCCATACTCAACAGCACCTAACAACAACAACAACATTAATACAACACACAATTCACTCTAGAATGAGGTCTTGAGCACAGAAACGATGCTAGGATTGAAGATTCATTTACAAAACATTGTCAAATGGAAGGCTATTGCTGGAAGAGCTATGTCATTGCACCACGTACTTTTTGAATGCAGGTCATATCCCTGAGAAGATTCTTTGTGATCATGTCTTTACAGAACTGTCTCTAATCCTGTTGCTTTAACATCATAGAAATTAGAATTGCAGCACAAAGGATGGTCACTTTATAGTGAGGATTATGGTGACATTAATGCACTATATTAGCCATTACACATAGTGACTCTAGATATTTATTAATGAGCTGAAATGGACTACACTGACCATTTTGGGTTTTGGGGTTTTTTTTTGTTTTGTTGTTGTTGTGTGTACCATCAAATCAGATCCAACTGGTACAGGAGGAGATTGCCCCTCCTTCTCCTATGGATCATCTGGTGGATTCAAACCTTGCACCTTTGGGATTGCAGTGCAGCTTCTTACCACTAAGCCATCAGAGCCTTCTCCACATTGGCCATTTTGAATCAATAACCATGTGGTCTACTATATGTGGTGACAAAATTACCATGTTTTAACCACCCATAATCAGCCAAAGATGTCTGTGGATGTACATGGTCTTGCGTGATCTATACCACCGTTCCGTCTGCATTGGTGGAGTAACAAAACCATCTACGTTATTGTAGTAAAAACAAGACTTTCATAAAAGTACTGAATACTCCATACAGTGCTAGATTTTTATTTTATTTTCTTTTTTTAGAAATTGCAACCAGAGCAGTCCTTAGAGGCGAAGATAGCAAATCTTTGTTTCACATACTTTTTGGACATTTTGTTAAGAAGGGCCATTTCTTGGAAAAGGACATCAGGCTTGGACAGGTGCAAGGCCAGCAAAAAGAGAAGGCCTTCGGTGAGATGGATCCCCACAGTGACTGCAGCAATAGATCAAGCTTGTCAACAATGATGAGGAGGCACAGGATAGGACAGGGTCCAGATCTGTTGTTTGTAGGGATGCTATTTGTTGTTCTTGACTCAGGGGCATCTATTAACAATAATTATAATAATATATGGGCTAATGTATGGCTGACAATTTAACTATCTCACTAACCAACTCCTTACGAGTAGCACACTTAGGTCAAACTTACCTTCTCACTGCAGAATCAGATTTTTGCAACTAATTTCTATTTCATTGGTTATCAGTGATCAGCATGTGCATATTTCACAAGTGAAATAAAAATGCTCGATCTTCTTGGTAATCTCTGATTTCTCTTTGGTACTAGGGTGAAGAAAGAAGTCATGGTTATTGATCCCTCTGGAAACACATATTACAACTGGCTGTTTTGCATCACTTTACCTGTTATGTACAACTGGACTATGATTATTGCAAGGTATGTATTGATTTTTAAATTTTTTAAATTTTAAAACTAAAATTTGTTGTTGAGTAAGGTATCTATTTTTGTGGCTGTTAAACCCACTTTTAGATTCCCAGTTAATTAGCTAAGCAATTTGACTTAGAGCACTTCAGCTTCTTCTCTCCCATCATCTGTAGTAGAGAAGTTATTCTAGAAGTACTTTTCCCAGAATCAGATGTTTTTATATATATGTGTATGTGTGTATAACATTTTTTTAATTTTTTCTGGCTACATGCTTATTCAACACAACGCACACAAAAAATATGGAACTCTTCATGAATTTGCGTATCATCCTTGAGTAGGGGCCATCTTAATCTTCTCTGTTATCGTCCCAATTTTAGTGTATATGTTGTTCAAGCAAGCACAGTTGCTGATGTATTTTTATCTCTATTATTGGGACTCAATTTTTGATTACACAATCATTTCATTAGACCTTTGGGGGAATGTTATCAATAGTGGGGAAAGATCAAGGTTCTAGGTTGTTAGCCCATGATTCCCTATCTTGTCCTGAGAGAACATCTCTGCCATCTAGGATTAAATGCCATTTCCTAAAACATTTTGTACACAGAGAGTTAATTGATCAATGTATTTCAGTCAATATATTTTTGCTTTAGCTTGAGATTTTTTTTCTTATTTATGTTTTTACAACATAGATGAGTGTGATGAGAATAATGCTGGGATTTAGAAGCATGAGAAAATAAAGTGACAAAAAGTTAGGAAAGCCATGGTTGATTAGTGTGTTACTTGTGATGCACAAAAAAAAAAAATCATCAGTTTTAATCAACCAGGAGCTCCATGGGAGAAAGATGAGATGTCTCCACCTGTAAATATTACAGTTGTAGAAATTTAACGGAGAGTTGTTATGAGTTACAATTGATCTCACAGCAGTGGGTTTGATTTTGATTTTTTTTTTAAAGAGCCTCTTCCAGTAACAGCTTGTTCTACTTCTCATGATGATAGAAATTACATAAGGAAGACTGTCAATTGGCCACCATTTATTTTATTTTATACAAATTTTTCTTTTACAGAGCATGTTTTGATGAACTTCAGTCTGACTACCTAGAATATTGGCTCATTATTGATTATATCTCAGATATAATCTACCTTCTTGATATGTTTGTACGAACAAGGACAGGTAAATGTTTGGTTTTTGATATTGTAAAATTCTGTGGTTTTATTTCCCTAATATAACTTGAAATGTCTTGCATAAAATGTTCTTCAGAATAAACTTGCAAAATCTATTTTAGAGGAAAAAAATCACAGTTGAAAACAAGAACAAAATATATGCATCCAGAGGACTGATTTGAATGTGGACTGGTGTCTCTTCTCATCCTCTTGTTTGTTCAGTTTATGCCAGGCAAGGGAGGACTAGAGAGTCTATGTAGTCTGTGGGATCTGTGAGGAAAGAGTAATTGATACCTAAGAGGCATAAGAGGAAGATGCTTGATCAGACAGATTGACACAGTGACTGCAACAATGAGTTCAAGTGTATCAGAGATGATGAGGATGGCACAGGATAGGACAAGGCTGGTGTTGTTCATAGAGTCACTGTGAATTATACACGACATGATGACACCTAGCAACAACAACAAGAGGGGAAAACCTTGAGCAGACAAGGGGGAAATGTATCATACAGAGCCATATCTAGAAAATTTTAAAATAACCTTTGTGGTTCATCCTGTTGTTTTTAGGTGTCATCAAGTTGAGTATAACTCATAGTGACCCTGTAAACAGCAGATCTGTACCCTGTCCTTTCCTGTGCCGTCCTCACACTCCCTGACTCACTACAGCCCATTGTGGCCGTCACTGTCAATCCACTTGGCTGAGGGTCTTCCTCTCCTTGCCGACATTCCACCCTTCCCAGCATCATGTCCCTCTCCAAGGAATGGCCCCTCCAAAGAACATGCCCAAAGGATATAAGGTAAAACCTGATCATCTTTACTTCCAAAATACACTCTGCCTGTACCCTCTCCAAGATATATTTATTTGTTCTTTTGGTCATCCGTGGGATGTTCAGTACTCTTCTCCAGCACCACAACTCAAAGGCCTCAATTGTTTTTCTGCCATCCCGGTTTGTTGTCCAGCTCTCAGATGCATAACAAGTGACTGGAAAAACCATGGCCTAAACCAGATGCACCTTAGTCCTCAAACTGACATCATTGCTTCTCAGTAATTTGGAGAGTCCATAACTGCAGACTCTCCCAATGCAATACGTCTCCTGATTTCCTGACTGCTGGTACCAACGGTGTTACTTGTGGACCCAAGTAGATGAAGCTGTTGACCATTTCAATCTCTTCTTATCCACCACGATGTTGGTATCATCTAGTAGTTCACAGTGAGGCATTATTAGCCAGGATGTAGCATCTGCTATCTTCCTAACTGAAATTTATTCATTGGACTGAACTTAGGTATTTTTATACTTCTCTCCACAAGTAAATGTATCAAGTTTAGTCATGGTATGATTTTCTTAAAGAGTCATTTTGTAAAATAGGGACAGTCTCTAGGTAGCAGTAGCTGAAGCAGTGCCTCTATTGCCGTGGTCAATTTTCAGCTCTGTTTGGTTTTGAACTTACTCATTCTCTGTGGGAGAAAGATAGAGTAGTTTGTGTAAAAGTTTCTGCTTGGAAATCTGCTGGGCAGTTGTACTCTGCCCTGTGGGGACACTATAAAATATACTCTGTGGCACACAATAACAACATTTGCAGCTTCATTCTGGAGTTAATATTGGAAGAGAAATAAATTCTTTTCCTAGTTTAACATACACCAACCAGTTGTCATGGTGTTGACTCATGGTGATCTTATGTGTACAGAGAACTGTGCTCTCTCCAGATGGTTTTCAATGACTGATTTCTCAGATGTAAGTCTCCTAGCTCTTCTTCCATGGAGCCTCTAGGTTTCCTCTAACCTCAACCTTTCGATTATCATCCAAGAACATTAGCCCTTTGCCCCTCTCATGGCCTCTACTATAAAGCATAAGAATTCTGAATTTCTGAACTTAGCACACAAGGCCCATGGCAGCAGCACAGAAAAGGGAAAGACCCCAGATATCTAGAAGGGGTGGGGATAGGAAACAGACTAAAATAAAGCATAGAATGGCCACTATATTCCACATTGAAGGGGCAAAACTAAATATGCACACTAGTCAGACAGAAGGGCTAGTATACAGACTTTCAAAATGGGCCTGGAATTCTGTCAAGAGAATGAGTTGAGACACTTAGTACCTGAAGATTAGGTAAGTTCAGAAAATGTTCCAAGGACACTTTGCATAAAAAGAATGTCTGTACCTAGATAAGATAGATTATACTTTATTTCTGAAATAGAACATTTACCATTGTGATATGCTTTTGGAACTCATAGATCATCACATTATTACAAATGTAACACTCTTGGTACCAGAAGCCAGGAAATTAAAGGATGAATTGCATTGAGAAAGTCTGCTGTCAGAGACCTCCCCAAAGTACTGAAGAGCAATGATGTCATTCTGGAGACTAGGGTGCACTTGATACTGGTCTTGGTCTTTACAATTACTTGTTCTACATCAGAGAGCTGGACAATGGCTAGGGATGACAGAAGGAGAATTGATGCCTTTGAGCTGTGGTGCTGGAGAATAGTATTGGATATACCATGGACTGCTAGGAGACCAAATAGATTCATCCTTGAGAAATTGAGACCAGGCTGCTCCTTGGAGTCAAAGATTCTGAAGCTTCCTCTGACATACTTTGGACATGTTGCAAGGTGGGACCAGTCCTTGGAGAGGGACATCATGCTTGGGTGGGTGGAGGGACAGTGAAGGAGAGGAAGATCTTTGATGAGATGGACTGATTCAGTGATTGAGACCTTGGGGGTAGGTGTTTCAGAGACAATAAAATTGGCACAGGATAGAGCAGGGTTTAGGGCTGTTGTGCATAGGGTCACTATGAGTCACAGGTAATTAGATGGCACATAACAATAACAACATCTGTTGAAAATGAATTTGATTTTTATGCAAAATGCAATAAAGTTTATTGAGAATTGCTTTGGGGAAATTCACAATGGTACAAAAAGAGAAACATTAAACTAATGTTTTCTTTCCTCTTTTAGGTTACCTGGAACAAGGGCTGCTGGTGAAGGATGAGATGAAGCTCATTAAAAAATATAAATCAGATTTACAATTTAAGTTGGATGTTTTATCAATGATACCTACTGATCTGCTGTACTTTAAGATGGGGTGGAACTATCCAGAAATTAGGTTAAACAGATTGTTAAGAATCTCTCGTATGTTTGAGTTCTTCCAGAGAACAGAAACAAGGACAAATTACCCAAACATCTTCAGGATTTCTAATCTTGTTATGTATATCGTCATCATCATCCACTGGAATGCATGTGTATATTACTCTATTTCCAAGGCTATTGGATTTGGGAATGACACATGGGTCTATCCTGATATTAATGATCCTGAATTTGGCCGTTTGGCAAGAAAATATGTATACAGCCTTTATTGGTCTACACTGACCTTGACCACCATTGGTGAAACACCACCTCCTGTGTTAGATTCAGAGTATGTCTTTGTAGTGGTTGATTTCCTAATTGGAGTGTTAATTTTTGCTACCATCGTCGGTAACATAGGTTCCATGATTTCCAACATGAATGCAGCTAGAGCAGAATTTCAAGCAAGAATTGATGCTATAAAGCAGTATATGCACTTTCGAAATGTAAGCAAAGATATGGAAAAGAGAGTTATCAAGTGGTTTGACTACTTGTGGACCAACAAAAAAACAGTGGATGAGAAGGAAGTCTTAAAGTATCTACCTGATAAACTGAGAGCAGAAATTGCCATCAATGTTCACTTAGACACACTGAAAAAGGTCCGCATTTTTGCTGACTGCGAAGCTGGTCTGTTGGTAGAATTGGTCTTAAAACTACAACCCCAGGTCTATAGTCCTGGAGATTACATCTGCAAGAAAGGAGATATTGGACGTGAGATGTACATCATCAAAGAAGGCAAACTTGCCGTGGTGGCAGATGATGGGATCACTCAGTTTGTGGTCCTGAGTGATGGCAGCTACTTTGGTGAGATCAGCATTCTGAACATTAAAGGCAGCAAAGCTGGAAATCGAAGAACAGCCAACATTAAAAGTATTGGCTACTCAGATCTGTTTTGTCTCTCAAAAGATGACCTGATGGAAGCTCTGACTGAGTACCCTGATGCCAAAACTATGCTAGAAGAGAAGGGGAAGCAAATTTTGATGAAAGATGGGCTACTGGATTTAAATATTGCAAATGCTGGGGGTGACCCCAAAGATCTTGAAGAAAAGGTCTCCCGAATGGAGAGTTCTGTAGACATTCTGCAAACAAGGTTTGCCCGGATCCTGGCTGAGTATGAATCAATGCAACAGAAACTGAAGCAGAGACTAACCAAGGTTGAGAAATTTCTGAGACCAATTATTGACACAGACTTTTCAGCTATTGAAGGATCTGGAGTGGAAAGTGAGACCATAGACTCTACACAAGACTAAAATGCTGATGGTCAACAAGGACATCCCTCATGATCCTTTTAATCAAGTGATTACGAGCAATTGTATAATGGAAGGAGAGGAAATCTCACTGGAGGACTTTGTGCTTTGGTGTCAGGCACTAAATTCATACAGTCATGTGTGATGTACTGTGAGTAAACAATATCGCATTTTGGGATTATTCACAATAAAAGCTGATTAAATTGTCAGTATTTACATTGTCACGTTTTGTCCATATATGTTCCATTTATGCAATAATCCTTATGAACTGAATAAGCTTCTCTCACTTTCAGGCAATTGCATTGCAAGGAATAAACTGTATTCAGAGGTAATGGGGAATTACCATATGCACCATTTTTGGAGTAACATTTTAAAAAGAATTAGAATCCAATAAAATACTAATAATTCTAAAACAACTGTGCATTTTATTTCTTTGATAATTTGGCAGGACATTTAGAATTTCGTTGCGTTTCAGGGTCATTTTGAGTGCATCAGTAATTTTGTATAGTAAGAGAAATGTGTGATTGCTTAAAAGCGTGAGAAATAGCATTTTACTATACAAACACACACATATAAATATTGAAATATATAACACAAAAACAATTAAATGTGGTAGTGATCATTTATATTGTTCTTTAAAATGTTATGCTTATTCAAGAAAACTCTGGTAGCCTAGTGGTAAGGAGTTGTACTGCCATCCCAAAAGCCTATAGTTGAAATCCATCAACTGCTCTAACAGAAACATAGGTAATCTCTTCCCATGCAATTTACTGCCTCTGAAAATCCGCTGGAGGGTCACTTATGAGTTGATTTCAACTTGAAGGCACATATCAACAATAATGCTTATTAAGGCCAGAAAGCAATAGTTAATTCCTTCTATCTCTCACTGGCCAGCAGTAAGAAAAATATATAAAAGTTGTACTATTTCTGGCCAATTCAACATAAATCAACTCACCTCAACTCATTGCTGTTGAGTCAGAACCAACTCAGCTGGCTCTCCAGCAAGTTTTGGAGGCTGTAAACTACACAGGAGGAGATTTGCCCATCTTTCTCCTATGCAGCCATCTGTGGATTCAAATGGCCAAAAGGTCTCACCTTTGAATTAGCAGTGCAACTTCCCACAGACTGTTGTTAGGTGCTGTTGACCAGAGGTCCTCACAGACTAAGCCCTTTTAAACCATCATCTGCATCACCTGAGAACTTCTTGGAATTGCAGAATCTCCACTCTTTCTCTCTCAGCACTTCTGTTTCAGGGTCTGCATATAAAAGTTTTACAGGTAAACTCAAACCCTTATTAAAAGCTTAAGAAGCACTTACCTAAAGTTAAGAAGTTACTAGAGGGATGATTCTAGATGAGAAAAAGGGTCTCTGTAACACGTGTATGACTATGAAAGACAAGGGCAGTTAATCATATAAATAATTTCACTTTGAATGCAGATATAGTTTAAAACATTTTTCTTAACACAGATTCACTGAAATCAATATGAAAATATTAAAGTTCTTGTAAATCGTATTATTACTATAGTAATAATATGATTTACAAGAACTTTTTTATATGGTATTTCAGATATTTATGCAAAACTGAATTAACGTGTTCTGAAGGTTTAATTTACCAAAAGAATATCTATACATGGAACTGTTTATTATGTTTCTGAAGTTCTTTTTATATTGCATTTGTTTGTTCTTTCTACATTTTGCTTTAATATTACCATGGAGGCATTTCTTCACTATGTAAGAAGTGCCTCAATCTTGGAGCAGATGGGTCATGTCTCATGGTCTCTGTTCCTTTTCCTCCCTTACCTTTCTAATCCTTTTAACTCCTTCTTTTTCATCTAAAGAGTTCCTGGTGGTACAGTTGTTAAGTGATTAAGTACCCTAACTAAGAAGTTGGTGATTTGAAACTATGAGATGCTCTATTCTTTCTTGTCTGCTACAAAAACCTTCTGAGACACTTTAAAGAACTTTGCTAGCTACTCATATCACACAGGTATGATATAATAGGAATGAATGAGAGCCTTGGTGCTGACTCAGGGTTAGTCTTCAAAGAGTAGCAGCCCAATTATAGCTCCCCTTTGCGTCTAATCTAGGATGTGTTCAAAGTACTGAGTTAATGGCGTCCTGACCCAAAGATTTATGAGTCCTGGTGGAGCTTATATTAGAAAGGTGGCATATTCTTGTTTTTTCAAAGACTTGAGATTAGTAAATTTCTTTCGTATGAAAAGCTCTCCTCTGGCAAGAGGGTTCAGAGAAGAAATAAGCTGTCAATGAGGGTTCTAGTTTAGACATTTCTAGAAGTGCAACAGAGAGGTTCAGGTTTCCAACTTCATTCAAAATCTGACATGAGTCAATTCTGCTGTATGGTGGCTCTCCTTTTGGCTTCTGAGTTAGAAATCTTTATGTCTAGCTTTCTCCCTTATGGTCAATTTGAACTCTTCATTTAGCTGCCAAACATTTTGTTCACCCAACCATCAGGGCTCCTTTCCAATTCGTTCAGGAAACAGCGTTAAAACAAAACAGAGCACATTGACTTTGAGGTAGGAATGGTGTACTGGGTATAGGTAGTTGCTGTTGTTAGATGTCATTGAATTAACTATTTCACATAACGACCCTATGGGCCATCATCATGTTCTCCACCTCGCTCAAAGCCACCATCAAAGTCACTGTGTCAATCCATCTTGTCAAATATCTTCCTCTCTTTCTCTGACTTTTCACCTTTTATTCTGTGATGTCTTTTGCCAAGAACTAGTTCTTCCTGGCAACATGCCTGAAGTATGTAAGACTAAGTTTCACCCAACCTTAACTCTAACAAACACCTTGGTTACACTCTTGCACGACAGATTTGTTTGTTCTTTTAAAAGTCCACAGGATATTCTTCAGTACTGAAACACCATAATTGGAAGTCATTGATTCTTCTTCAGACTTTATATTCATTGTTCAACTTTCAAATGAATAGAAAATAATTCAAAAGATCATAGCTTGGATAAGGTATTTCTTAATTCTAGGCCACAAGAACTGTAGTCTTTAAACTCATTGTTTCTCTTTATCACTTTGGAGAGGTCCTTGAAGACAGAGTTTCTCAATGCAACATATATTCTGATCTTCTGACTGCTGTTACCATAGATGATGATTGTGGATCCAAGCAAAATGAAATCGTTGGCAACTTCAACCTTTTCTCCAACTATCATGATGCTGCCTTTTGGTCTAGTGGGAGGATGCCCCCTCCTTTAATGTTGAGTTAAAATCCATATTGAAGGCTGCAATCCTTGATCTTCTGCAGCAAGAGCTTCAAGCCCTCTTTGTTTTCTGCAAGCAAGGTGTGCCATCTGTGTAACACAGAGTGTTGATGAATCTTCCTCCAACCCTGTTGCCAAATTCTTCTTCAAGTATTCCAGCTTCTTAGATTATTTGCTAAGAATTATTTAATTCTGCACAGAGGCAATATCGTAGCCAATGAGGTCTATCCAAGGCGCGATTATTGCTAATTGAAAACTTTTCCCAATACCCCGCCATGACAACTTGAAATAAAAAAAAATATTTAATTCTCTGCTAAGTCCAAAAATCTGTTGGAATGGCCACAAAGAATTCACAGGACATATTCATGATTATAGGGTTTATTAGGAAAGTTACAGGTTACAATTTTGGATCAGGTAGAACTCAAGATACAATCCTGCAATCAGGACAAATTTTCAGATGTTCCCATAGGCAGACTTCTCACTGGCCTTTGGTCTCTCAGGTCTCAGTGCCTTGCTACTTGAATTCCTAGGCCTATCCAGCTCCTGCCTTGCTCAATCAAGACTTACAAAGTTCTTTAGCTGCACCCATAAGTACCCAGAGGCACTCCACTCTCTTAATAAGCCTCTGCCTGAAGGCATTCAGCTCCCTAGCCTCAGGAGTCAGTAAGCCTAACTCCACTGTTCCACCAAGAATTAGTCAGAGGATCCCCATTCCACTAGCAATCCTCCTTCTTGCTTCTTGAAAGACCACTGAGCCATTTCCTTCTTGTCTTCTGGTTCTATTGCCTCTGTTCCCATTGCTTCTCACCATCTCTCATCAACTCCAGTGCCATGGCTCTCTGTCTCCTATATCACAGGGACTTCAAGTTTCATATACTTTACTTCTATCTCTACTTCTTGCTAGTAGTCAACCACCCTCCCCTCTCTGCTTTCTTTCTCTCCTTTTATCTCCTGGAAGACAAAAGGAGTGACTCAAGCAAGGGCACGGCTTCAATAAACTGGCAAAAAGTGATGACTTGAATAAGGGTGATGACTGGGGTAAGAATGGTAACTTGAGCCATATCTTGTAATAAGACAGGGACTCATACACATGCAACCCAAATCCTGCCCGATTTACATAATGGACAACTAATGCCAAAATAGGGCTGTAACCACAGCTGTCTTAATAATTCACTGGGGGGGGGAGTGTGCAATAATGGAAAAAATTAATTAATAAAAAAATTAATTCATTCTGTTAAGTAGCAGACCAGTTAAAAGAAAGGTTGAGTCAACATTGTCCCCAATGCTTGACCTGCTGTATAAGTCCATGATTTCTGATAGCTGCTCCTTTGTTCAGTTCCCTAGCTCCTCTATGTCCCTTGGGTTCAGTGGTTTGCTGAAAGGATCCCCAGAGACAAAGACCCATCAGGGGAAGGGCACGTGCGACTGTGGATACTCAGGCTGGTTTTGTAGAATCTGGTGAGAATCTGGCCAAGATCCAGCAGACTATCATTTGTAGCACAGCTGGGTGCTGTGTGCCAGAAAAGTGAAAGTCCCAAAAGAAAGAATGAGCACTGAGGTCCCATGAACTTATATAAGCCTGTTGTTGTTGTTAAGTGTCATCAAGTTGAGTACAACTCTTAGCGACCCTATGAACTAAAGATCTGAAACTTACTCTATCTTGCATCATCCTCACACTTTCTGACACACAAGAAGAGCCCATTGCAGCAGTTACAGTGTCAATCCACCTGGTTTAGGGTCTTCCTATCTTTTGCCGACCCTCCATCCTTC